AAATGGTTATAAAAAGTATGCAAACAATTTCCTCCTGCACAAATCAAAGCTGCAGCATCATTGTCCTTAATCAGGAAGCAGACTATTTGAGATTTCTGAATTGTAGATATATCAAGCAGTTCACACTGCTTTACACTGTAGCGATACCACTCTATTTAGGGGACACTAACTCATCATTTCTAGAATCACAAATTCAAAGAGCAGCCTGTTCAAGAACCCCCCTCAATGTCCAGTTACTAAACTGATATATGGATTTAAGAGATTTAAGTACCCAGGACAAAGGGAGACATATTCCAAAGAATTGTCTTAATTATTGTTTAGGGTACAGCAGACTATTTAGCCATAGTGCTCATCTAGTAGATAACATACATATGGTCTCAGAAATACATATTCTGAATACTTAAAGTCTCATTGACCATATCTATTCCTAACATATACAATGGAATTTGCTGAAAAAAATAGCTAACCTAAACCTTTCTGAAAGTTAAAACTATCTTTTTCTCCTTGGTTATCCCAATAATTTCAAATAGGTATTCTTTCATTTCTGTAATAGAATAAACATATTGCCAGACATGCAATCACAGTGTCTCTCCAATTCTGGAGAATAAATATGAGATGCAGCTTTATATTACTAAATAAAAAAATAAAGCTGACACTTCCTAAGTCCCTTTTACCAAAGTTAACTTCTGGTTTTGAAGCCAAAAACACATGTTGGCTGAGTCATTACTAATTTCAGTTATTTACTCTCTATCAGGAATGAAGCACCTTCCCTTGACCAGCTGTCAGTGCCCTAAAACTGACATTTTAAGACCTATTGGTATATTTAGTTCCTGCATTAAATTCTTTCTGTTCATCCTTCCATTGCTGGCTTTGCAATTGATTGGCACTGATCTCGATGTTCTGCCTTTTTGATATAAATGCTCATCATACACTTCTCACTACCTTCTTACTTGATGCAAATCTGCAAAGGACCCCAGCACTCAGTTGACTGTAATCTTAGGAGGTGAGAAGGGGGAGAAAGAAGGTTGAGGACTTTTTTTTTCCTTCTCTTCAGTTTAGGAAATGACAACTGTAAGGTGTGCTGGCTCATACACATAGGTTAATGGTCTGACCACCAAATACCTGAGAGTATTCTCAGAACGTCAGCTCTGGGAACTGAAAATTGAATAAGCAGCAACAGTGAAGTTCCTTTTCACTCCCCTGCTATCTCTTCTTGTCATCGCATATGATGACTTTCAAAAGTCAGTAGCTTTCTACTACGTCTGCTCAAAATGCAAAATGAGGTGTTTATCGTCTTCCCAGGACACTGCAAAGGGTGGCAATGGGCAAAATCCCCCAAACAACTTGACAAACTATCACAGAAAATCAGCATTTCCATGGTACAAAAACCATCAGAAATGAAGCTGTGGAATTACTCAAAAGCGCATTTTCCTTCATTTTATCAGTAAGAGTAGAAGCCTTCCATGAAGGGAAATCCAGGATTCAAAATACTCAGTGTTTTATAACTTGAATTTTTTTATGAACTCCACTATGCACATGAGCTTTTCATTGACATGTTTGCATCCCTCATATTCCTTATTCTATTTGATATATCTGTTGACTGAAATGCCCTTAATTAACTGCTTTACCTATGTCCTTTCCCTCGTAACACATATTCCAGTTATTTATTTATTGTCAATCACAATAAATGGGTGGAAAACTGTGTAAGTAGAAGAATGAGAACAGAGGAATGCTCATTCTAATTTTAGATCAAAAAACACTATCAACTCAGAAACAAAATTATCAGAAATAAAGATGCTACTTTGGTTTAAAATACATATATGTGTACAGCTATTAGCTAGCTTTTCCATTATTTATTGAAAAAATTAAATGATATGTTCAAATTTCTGAGGGGAAAAAAATGAAGAAATTCAAAAAAGCAATATTTAGGGAGTGTACAGAAAGGTGAAAACTAAAGCCTGTTCAAAAGCTTACTCGGTAGCACTGGAATCTACGTTTTCATTTGACTCCTGAGAGAAAACAGTAACTAGCGTTTTGTTCATCTTCATGCCTTAAAAAGACTTTTCTTGCATCACAAAACAATACAGCTGCCACCTTGACAGAAGGCAATTAAGTCTTTGCAACTCTGAACAATATCCTCTGCAGTAAAGTACAGCTTCTTTGCACCAATAAGTATATGATACATATTTATTTGCATGTTAAGAATAAATTTTTAAAAATCAGCAAAAGCTCAGTAAAGATAGATGCCTAACTTCACTGACACCAGAATGGTACTTCCAAAGACGAGGTAAAAGCAGTAGCAGCACTTTCAGCTTCACCTAGAAACAAACGCCTTGGGAAAGAGGGCTTTTTTTCATGTCTCTATATATGGCATATTATAATAGAATCATGAAAGTACTACAAACTGCTGTGCCTGATTGAATATGTAAGCATTTGTAGAGCAGTGTGGGTAAAAAGCAGCCCAGGAAAATGAGTCAAGGATTGTGGTATAAGGGGCCAGAAGAAATTAATCTCCAGCTCTCCATACAGAGCAAGAATGATCACATCAGCAGTATTCTGTCAACTTTCTCATGTGTGAATGGTTAAGGAAAAGGGAAGAAGGCAGCCAATTCTTCTTTCATTCTCATAAAACTCAGGCACCTCAAATAATTCATCTGGAGTTAATGATTGTTTGAAATATTTTGTGAAAAATGTATGCAAAGTAGATGTGACCAATGTGTATCTTTTCTACACCAATGTCAATAACCAGCACAGAAATGGACAAATTTTATGAGGCTGTACCAATTCTCTCTCTTGTACCCACCAGTCTAAAGGGAAGACCTCTCTCTGCAAAAAAAGGTCTAATGAACTGTTCATGAACACGCTGCTACACCACTCTTCTAAAATCCCACTCATTAGTATAAGCCATAAAGTTATAATTTTGAAGTTTTTAATATGTTAGTTCACACTTTAAAGTACAAATTAAGTTACACATTGATTTGTAAGTGGACATGATCTACAGATGTACGAAAATTGAGAATGTATGCAGGTGAGAAACGCTACACTTCTACATGTGTTTCTCACCAAGGGTAAAGTGAAATAGGTGAACAGAACAGGCATAAAGTTTTCATGATCAGTCCCAAGAACTAAGAGGGGAGTAACCATGTTACAGTAAACTCTTCTACCCATCCTGTAAACTATCTACATTAATAATACTCCCTTTGATGAGTAAATATTCTTTGTGTGATACAGTAGATTAATTTGTGATTCAATGGATTAGTTTTGGAACTCTGAACCTCGTGGAACTTAGGGACACAACTGGCACTTTGCAAAAAGAAAAAATCCTGATGAACTGCAGAAAATGGTAAATTAAAAGTGTATTCTGCCCCGTTTTTGGCATATTTCCTTGAAAATTATCATTGTGATGTGACAATTAATTTTCATGAGTAGGGTCCTTATTCCTTACAATTCCATCTTTCACAGGTCAAATTTGGAAACACTTACTTCAATGATGCCTTCTTATTTCATGTAATTCATTTCAGCCTTTAGTCCCCAGACTTATTAATCTATGCATTAATGCCTCTTAATCATTTCTTCCTGCTCTACTTCTACTGCAACAGTCAATTGATGCTTTATTGAGCAATACAGTCTCCCCCTTTTTTTGCATTTTATCTCCCCGTTCATACTTTCACAGTCAAGCTTCATCAACACTCTTGTATATTTTTCCATGAAATCAGTGATTCCTGTAAACTACTTTTTCTCTGATTATTAATCACAGCTAAACTCATTTTAGGTTAACATTTCACCAGAAACCACGGACACACAAATCAGCATTTGCTTTCATTTTTCCTATACATTAAAAAATAGTCCTAACATGATACCTGTGTTTTTCAAGGTTTTTTCATTTCTGTGATCCTGGCAAAAAATGTTATCTTCAGAAGACAGAAAATTATAAATTAATTTTTATTTGTACTACCAGGGATTATTTTATAAAACACATTGTGCTAAATTTGCAGTATATGCATTGATGCACAAGTCTTGTGAAGGTGCGCTGAGTCAGACTGAGCGTGTATTTGTACCACTATAGTACCAAGGATGAAAATACAACATGATCCACAAGAGCTTACTGTTAAATAAAATGCAATAACAAGAGACATCATATGAAAAATGCTAGTGATTATTTTATGAAAAACATTTGGAAAAAAGAAGAGACAGGAAATGTGTCAAGCTGAAGAAATTCAAGCTTCTCAATTCCCTGAAGAATATGTTCTATCTTTAAAATGTTTTTAAAATACCTTTCAGACAAAGAAGCTATTTCTTCCCTATTCCTAACAAAATTTGGATTTTGGCAATGGACAGGACTTATCTGAGTAGAACATGAACCACAATATATCTTTAATATATGTTCAAGACTTCAGTCACTTCTCCTGCTTTTTTTCCTGATATGCATATTTTGAAAGTTACAGATAGATTTGTTATTGGACTACACGTCTAGCTAATGGTGTTCTCTTTTTCAGCATCACTTTGTGGTTTTTGTTTTGTTTTTAAATGGACTTTATGCATTAAAAAGGAGTTCAACCCTTGCCTTCTTACAGGGAATACTAGCTTAAATTTAGTTCAATTTCAGGCTTAGCTTATTGCCTGAATTTTCAAAATCTGTTAGGAACTTTAAGACAGTATCAAGACCTTCAAAAACACTCAAAATCTGGATGTTTTAACATTACTGAGTGCACAGGTACCTGTTAGTATCCCAAAACTACTATTCACTTCTGAAAATTTCTACAGCATCTTTTATGTCTGTTGCTGATAAGGATGAAGAATTCTTCAATGGTACGTCTTAAATTGCTTTCTGTGTTTTCTCAGCTTTCAGTCTCCAATGTAAGTCAGTTACCATTTTGAAAAGGCTGAACTTAAGCATTTTTTTATGAAGCAGCTACCATCTAAATGCACTTGTAAAATCTTATGTTGTCTACCCAGCTAATTAAAATGTTTTGTCTTCTTTCTGTATCAAAGCTACTTACATTATCACACAGGAGGCTCTTATTTTTAGTGCCTGTTGCATAACAGTCACAGGGTTTGCAAACATCGATGGCTGAAAGATCTGCACCTGCTTGTCTGTAATGGAAATCCTTGCACAGCTCACAGTTCCTTCCTGCATGAAAGAAAGGTTATGCATTATGGCTTCCAATTCATTAAAATTAGCTGTATAATTCAAAATTAAAGACTCTATTCCTTTGAGAGAATTCTATAATTTTCAGGACGTCCATTTTAATGCACCTTTCATCTCTACCTGCCAATTTAGTGATCCAGAGCATATGAAACAATGAACCTGTTACAAACTATGTTTTACTCCATTAAACTTCCATCTGTTATATAATACCACACTTATATAAAAGCTGTGCCATGCAAATGCCTATACATTTTTTGGAAAAATTGTCATTGAACCTGAAACTTTCTTTTTTTCCTTTTACTAGACAAAGCCAGGAAAACTGAAATAGAACTGTTAAAAAAAGTATTCACATATACTACTTACACAGAATAGAACCTTTACTCAATAAGCGAGAAACTGACATCAGAGCAAAATTTGAAAACGGTTTTAATATGTTATCTGTTAAACAGTTTCAATTAGAAAGACTTGATATTCTGGATTTAAATGCTCTAGCACAACAGCTTTGAAACTATACATTCTAATTATCTGTTAGAGCATATTTTGCACAACATTGGATCAAATTTTAGCAGTATTTTCCTGTAGCTTAAGTATTGACATAATTGTAAATACCGCACTATCTGGATAGTTTCAAAATACATATACATGAGGATTTACTGGAATGTCAGCCATTGAGCATTACTAATTTCAGCAAGACATATCCAAGAAGTGACTGCGAAACAAGCAGTCCATTCTCTGTCATATGACTTACCGGCTGTGTTGTGTTGACAGTTATCACACACTCCACCACTGCCTCTGTAGTGTTCCTGAGGAAAAGGGTCCACTGCCAAGTCATAGTGGCAGCTCACTGCATGGCTGTAACATTGACAAGGTTTGCAATTATAGGCATGAACTTGGTCACCTGGACGAAAAGGCTTGTCGTTGTACAACGGCAAACAGCGATCGCACTGAAATAAAATTTTAAAAAAAGAAAAAATATTTCTTTACCTTACCAGAATACTGTTGCACTGTCTATAGTCATGTTTTGTTCTATGTGGTTTTCCTCATTTAAATATTAAAAATACTGGTTTTAGACAAGAAGTGAGACAGCATATAGGGAAATAAAAAGATTTTAAAATAATTTTGTTAAGTTAATTTAACAACAGATTAAAATCAAGGAAGGTGGGCAGAAGAATAAAAGTTTAAGTATTTAGATACTCAACACAGGCTAAGATCCTGAGATTCACATTTAGGTAAACCTCTAAAGATATAAAATGGTGCCTACTGTGTTTGACGCACAGATGACATATTCACCTAATGCATCCATTTGTTTGTAGAATTGTAGAAACTACAACAACAACTGTAGTTTGTACAGTTACTATTTGACCTCCTGTGGCCAAATACACAATGTTGTACAGGGTACCTGAAATATCTTCTTAACATGCATTTATCTCATGAAATTTTCAAGCATGAAATTTTAAACAAAACCCACAAATCTCTACACATATTCAGTTACGTCAGGTTATATTTTAAACGTGACACCAATACAATACTAAGATACCAGATACATTGTTTAAATAAACACCTAAACAAACTATCTTGTTTTCTTCAATTCTTTTCAAATTATTAGATACAAAGACTAATGATATTCAAGTACTTAATTAGCTTAAATCCAAATCAGTAAAAATATTTTTTACATAGTCCAGGAGCACTGCAGGTCATTTTTTATTTGAATGTACTCACAATATTACCTTCTAAATAGAGCTTTGTGAAGAATGTGAAGTTGGAATAATCTTCAGTTCATAACAGACTCTACAAAACCTCAAGAAGAAAATTTACTGTGCCTACTGGTTCATCAAGAACTGAAAACAAATTTGATTTCTTAAAGTCAATGAATGGATTACATTTTGGACAAATATATTCTCTTTATGGTAAACAATTCAACCAGTTTTTATTAATTTGGCTCAATGAATTGTACATGTTGGCACTGGAGAGGTGTTTGTTTAGAAGAATGTTTTTAATTTAACTGGCATTACAAAAAGTCCATTCCCAAAATACTGGTGCCTTGCTGGATCTAAGAAACAAAATATATTGCAAGTATAATTTCCATCTTTCAGAAGGAATTTAAATGCTTCAAAATAAATTGCCTTCTGTAAAGTATTTGGGCAACTTCTTTCTTCTTAAAGTTCCAGAATTGTGCTCATCTTTCTTCATGTCTACTATTCCAAGCACTATTATAATTATTTAGGCCCAGTGTGCCAACATCACCTATACGTTGATCATTCAAAACTTCAGTATAGTTTCCTAAACTGTTTCACTCACAGCTGAAGCTGGGAAAGCACCAACTGTGTATAAAATGAGAAACTGGATTAGAAAACATAAGTTTAAGATAGTCTAATAGCTGCAGAGCAGTCACAAAAAAAAGCAACTCGGGAGGGAAAATGAAAGAACAAGAATTCATCTCCTGAAATTCAGTTTTAATAAACAAAATTAACAGTAAAAGGTAAGATAACAATATCCACTGCACCTTTTTGAAATGTTAAAAACAAAGTAAAAAACCACACCATCACAGTAAGAGAAAAAATGAGGTTTCAAGATGAAAATCAGCAGGGTTTCACTTGAAACCTTGAACTCTGATCTTTGTTTATGTGCTGGTTTTGGCTGGGGGAGAGTGAATTTTCTTCACAGTAGCTAGTATGGGGCTGTGTTTTGGATTTGGGCTGAAAACATCGTTGATAACACAGGGATGGTTCCGTTACTGCTGAGCAGTGCTGACACAGAGTCAAGGGCTTTTCTGCTTCTCACCCACCCCACCAGCGAGCAGGGTGGGAGTGCACAAGAAGCTGGGAGGGGACACGGCCGGGACAGCTGACCCCAACTGGCCAAAGGGACATCCCATACCATATGGTGTCATGCTCAGCACATAAAGCTGTGGAAGAAGAAGGAAGGGGAGGATGTTTGGACTGATGGTGTTTTGTCTTCCCAAATAATTGTTACGTGTGATGGAACCCTGCTTTCCTGGAGATGGCTGAACACCTGCCTGCCCACAGGAAGTAGTGAATGAACTCCTTGTTCTGCTTTGCTTGCTCGTGCGCGTCGCTTTTGCCTTACCTATTAAACTGTCTTTACCTCAACCCACAAGTTTTCTCACTTTTACTCTTCTGATTCTCTCCCTCATTCCACTGCAGGGGTAGTGAGCGAGCGGCTGTGTGGTGCTTAGTTGCTGGCTGGGGTTAAACCACAGCAGTTTATCAGAAGAATCACTGCCTAATCATGATTAGCCCATTTTTAGTACACCAAGGACAATGCCTTCACCACAGCTGTTACACAAGTTTCACACCTTAAACCTATTCAAGTCCTTCTCTCATTCTCATCCATCTTTCCTCTCCCTAGTCACTCCCTTTGTCTCGTACATTGAGAAAAATCAGCATTACACAGCATCAGCAACACAAGACAAGAGTGTTCATTCAGGCATGGCACAACTTGGGAAGTGCAAGAAAGAAACCCGAGCTCCCAGCCAAACCATCCCACTGATGCAGCTTCCTCCTCACAGCATGTCTACGGAAATACATCATTCCTGAACGGAAAACAGTACAGGAATAGCTACAAACCTGCCAGCCCCATAGCTGCTGAAACCATTCATCATTTCATTTCAGATTTAATCTTAGATCAGTTACTCATACACACCTGTGCTTGCACCTATTGTTAAATGACACACAAGCACTAAAGAGTAAGAGAGAAAAAGATGGCATTTGATTGCACAGCATGGAGTCTCTTTGAACTACCATCTCTCATGTTTTATGGCTTTTAAAACATTGACAAAATTTTTTAAAAGCCTCAGCAAAACAAGTAGTCATTCAGAAGTTGACAATGACCGAAACAACTGGTGTTCTAGCAGTTGTCACACCCATATGCATTCAAAATGTGCACTGGACCCCCACCTCATCCTCAACCTGCTGAAGTTTGTCATACCTTTATTAGGTTAAGAACTGCATTTAACTTTCAGACCTGCTGTGTTTAACTTTCATTCTTGGTAGCACCTCAATGTACATATGGCAATCCTCAGGTCTTCACTCACCAAATGTAAACTCTGCATTTGCCCAAAGCGTAGTTATTGAGATTTTCAAATGTTGAAAATGTTGAATGTTTTAGAATGTTCAAGAACGTTAATTCTTGACAAAACAAGCCTTTCTCCACAGCCATAAAACCCACAAACATGCAGATGTTCTTATTCTCAGTTACATCTAGGCCCTTCAGAAAACATGTTAAATATATGGCTTTCCCTATGGACAATAATAAACATGTCCTCTTGATATATAGTATCTGAACCACTCACCTTCTGTGAAAACAGTTTCCTGAGAAAGCATTACATGGAGCCAGATGGTCAAAATAACTAGCTCATCTTGGCCCAATTCATTAGTCTAAAATTATGATTAAAAACTTATTTCCAATAATGAATTCACGATTTTTTAACTAAAGTCATTATTAAAAGTATAAGTTCTCAAAATTCCTGAATCCAGCACACTTATGGAAAGATCACCAGCGACTTCAGCCTAAGCCTTTATGTGCCAAGTTCCTTATCAGTCACTAAGAACGCTGAAGACAGTGCCTCTAAAGAAACACTCAACAAATATTCAAAGAAATACTTCAGAAGGCAACAGTAACAGTATTTTACAACTTGCAATAAGTCATGATCAACTAGAACCTTCTACTCCCAACACTTTTAAAATATCCCACTGCTTGCCTCTGGGTGGCATCCTTTTTTCTGTTTTTGATGTTATATTATGTAGAACTTACTGCTCTCTCTCTTTTCCTAACATGTGTAAGAGTTCCCATCTCACACCCATCAGTCAAAGTTTCAGCTGCAATAATCAGTGTACATACAGACCTATAAGACGTATAATATATGTCTTATATAATATACATAATATATGCTTCTATAATATACATGGCATTAACAGTACATATATTTAAAAATCTGCTAAAATGGTATCAAGATTAGAACATCACCTTCTCCAGTATTTTGAAATGCTGTGTTGTCTTTGAGAAACTCCATTAGGTGTATCACCCAACCATGTTTAGTTATGCTGCCCTGTAAGGGTTGACGATACTACGAGTTAATCACATACTATTTTTTCCTTCCTACAAGATCCCAGTCTGTACCCAAATAGACAGTTTCTTTCACTCCATTTAGCTTCATTAGCTAAATAAATATGGCTTCTAGGCAATGTCTATTCCACTGTAGCTTAGCCCTGCTCCAAAGACAGTTGTCTTAATTTCCCCATGACTTTTCATTAGCACCCTCACTACAGCATTTGACTATCAAGACCACGTGTTAGCAGAGCTTTGAACCATACCTGTCTCTTGTGAACTCCCCAAGGACCAAAGAGCTTTTAAACTCAAAAGCCAGGTTATATTTATAAAAAAAAAAAAGCTAGAACACTGTAAGTGACTCCAAGTGACTATGGAAGACAATAGAAATGAAAAGTGTCTTCTGGGTTCCATTGTAACACTCCACATAGCTTAAAAGGATGCAACTTAATTTTAGAAACTAAGCACAGCCATAACAGATGGTTTACAAATACCGTATGCCAAATAGCATTCTAAGAAAAGATACATTGCTGCTTTGCAATAGCAAAATGACTGACAAAGAACCTGACTGGCAAAGAACATAAGATCTACCACTCCAAATGCCAGATTCAATAATGGGACACAACTGAGATCTCAAACACTGGCACAGATGTTATCAGGCACCATAAGATATATTTCTATGTAACTCCTCTTTCATTTACGATTTTTTTGGTGAAGTTATATGAAGCCCCACCAAGTCCGACAAATTCAAAGCACATGCAACCACACTAATTCTGACAATCAGCCCGCTCAGTACATTAATTCACACTTAAATTCTCCAGGATTAAAATTCAAAGCTATTTTCAAATCAGGTATCCATTCCATCTAATTCTCATTT